TGTGTAACAAAAGAAGAAGTAGGAAATGACCAAAAAGTACCCCACTTCTGGTCAAAAATAATCTCATTACCTTGATATTTCAATTTATTTTAATTATATCTATATTTCATATATGTCCATGATTTTAAATTGTACAATGCGCCAAGATGAATAAAGAAAAGAAAGCATATAATTTTTAGACTTTCCTCTCAGCATGTCACCAGTTGCCACTTACTGAAGTTAGGAAACAAATTATAAGAGATGTCCATGTATATTGTTATATTGTTACACAATGTAATGTGCACAATAGTTGTGACTGTGCATGTAAGTTAAATAATTTTAACTCATTGTCTCATGACTATGTTATCATTGGTAACTACTCTATTGTCCTTTAATATCACTTGAAGGCCATCAATAAATTGGCCAAAATACATTAAGTGGGTTTCTTCAATGAACGAAAGCCATTTCCCCATATTTTGAGACTTTGCCTCTCCTTTTTATTGGGTTTTGATCAAATTTATGACTGATAATGCCAGAGGTAACAACATATTTGGAGCAAACCAAGAAAAAAATATTTTGAATTACTCAAGGGGCCACTGCCAAGAAGGCCTGGTTTCTTGTTCTTTCTCTCCGGGCCTCCCTCGGCGTTAGGCCCCCTCAGCCACCCTTCCTGGCTAGAACGAGTGATTCAGGTAGATCTAGGTGGGAGGAGATGTTCCGCTAGATATCAAGGTCCTAAACTGTTTAGGGTTTTATATGTCATCATTAACACTTTGAAATCAATGCAGAAATGAATGGCAGCCAATGCAAAGCAGCCAGAGTGGGGGAAATATGCTGATATTTTCTCAGCCCCCTGAGAAGCCTGGCCACCACATTCTGCGCCATTTCGCATCAATCTCAAAGGTAGCCCCACGTAGAGTGCATTACAGTAATCTAATCTCAAGATTAAGTGCCCAAACATCAAGATAGGGATGTAGCTGAGCAATCCGCCACAGATGAAAATAGACAGAGCAGACCACTGACGCCACCTGAGTTTCTATAGTGAGCACCAGATCCAGATGGACCCCAAGCTGTGAACCTCAACCCTTGTGGTGAGAGTCACTCCCCCAAAAGACAGGGAGTTTCCCAAACCACCAACGGAGGGGCCACCCACCCTCAGGACCTCCGTCTTCTCCGGGTTCAGCCTCAGTCCATTCTCCTGCATCCATTGCAGTACAGACTCCAGGCAGCGCTGAAGGGACGGAATAGCATTCACTGTGGTTGGAGAAAAGGAGATGTAGAGGTGGGTGTCATCAGCGTACGGATGGCACGAAGCCCCACACCCCCTGATGACCCCACCCAGCGGCCTCATATAGATATTACAGCATTGGGGAGATAATCAAACCCTACAATTGAGGTTCCATGGGGCCGAAAAACTCTCCCCAAGCTCTGAGGATGGTCCTCCAAGAAGAATTGGAGCCAGGCAAGCGCCAGACCACCGATTCCCAGCTCAGAGAGCCTCTCTAGGAGGAGAACATGGTTGGGGTATCGAAGGGGGTTGAGATATTGAGGAGGACCAACAAAGACATTTTGGCCCTGTCAGCCTCCCTCAGCAAGTCATCAAACAGGGTGGCCAATGCCATTTCCCTACCATGGCATGGCCTGAAGCCCCACTGGAATGGATCCAGGGCATTGGTTTTACCCAAAAGAGCCTGTAGCTGGTCAGCCATCACCCTCTCTACCACTTTGCTAAGGAAAGAAACATTGGCAACTGGCCTAGAATTGCCAATGTTGTCTGCCACCAAACTTGGTTTCTTCCTTATGGGCCTAATGAGTGTCTCCTTGAGGGAAAGGCCTTGCCCTCCTGGAGAGAGCCATTAATTATTGCTGTGGCCCATTCAGTTGTTGTAAGCCTGGCTGCTTTGATTAGCCAGGCTGGGCAAGGGTCTAGGGAGGAGGTGGTGGCATGACAGTAGTCAAGTGCTTTGTCCACCATATCTGCCGTCACAGGCTGAAAGAGATCAAGTCTCACTGGGCAAGGCGAAGCACTGGATGTCTCTGCTTGATCTACTGTATTCAAAGAGCCTTGTGGTGCAGTGGTTAAACCGCTCACAAAGAGAGTATGGCTCAGTAAGAAGCTGATGGCATATACCAAGATCCAGGTCTATAGAACCTGTGTCCTGAGCACACTCATGTACTGCAGTGAGTCCTGCAGCCTTTGTGCACAGCAGGAGAGGAAGCTGAACACCTTCCATATGCGTTATCTCCGTATGCAATTTGAATAGACCCTTGTCCAGCATTTTTGGCATCACCTGGCAGGACAATGTTCCAAATAGAGTAGTCCTAGATCAAGCTGGAATTTTCAGCATGTATACATTACTGAAACAGTGACATCTACATTGGCTTGGGCATGTTGTGAGAATGGCTGATGGTCAGATTCCAAAAGATCTCCTGTATGGAGAATTAGTGCAGGGAAATCGCCCCAGAGGAAGACCACAGCTGCGATACAAAAACATCTGCAAGTGGGATCTGAAGGCCTTAGGAATGGACCTCAGCAGATGGAAAACCTTGACATCTGAGCGTTCAGCCTAGAGGCAGGCGGTGCAGCATGACCTCTCCCAAAGAGAAGGCGGTGCAGCATGGCCTCTCCCAAAGAGACATCTAGCATGCCAAGGCAAAGAGGCAGTCCCGAAAGCAGCAAAATCAGGGAGCTGGACAGGGGACAGACTGTATTTGTGTTCAGTGTGGAAGGGATGGTCATTCTCAAATTGGCCTTCTCAGCCACACTAGACGCTGTTCCAAGACCTCCATACAGAGCATGTTACCATAGTCTCTCGAGATTGAAGGATGCCTAATTAATCAAGTCAATTCTGCAACTTCTTTTCAAGCTACAGGTGATTTTTTAAAAAAACACACACATCCCTTTGTCTTAAAAGCTCAGCATCATCTTTGCCTCTCTTCAGTCTGTGGTCTGCAAGATATTTTTTGACGAGCTTGGAAATTACAAATCAGTGTGTTATCTGTAACGCAGAGGTGGGCAAAGCACATAGACATGGATGAGTAATCCAGTAACATCCAGGGGGCTGCAGTTTGCTCACCACTGCTATAATGTGTGAAGTAGCTGGCTGGATAGCTCAGTGTATTTGGCTGCAGATCCAGAGCTTGAGACTCCCCACTGTGCCTGCTGTGAGTACAGCCAGCCTGAGTGGTACTGGGCAAGCTGCACAGTCCCAGGGCACCCCCGGAAGAAGAAAATTGTTTTTTCTGTATATTATCTACCTAGAAACCTGGAAAGTGTATCAGAAAGGCTTATTTGTCATTTTTGCTTGTTACTCTAGGGAAGATATTTTGAAGGGGTTTCTCCCCATATTTTAAGCCATTTTCTCACTGCTCAAAATTGTTTATTTTTTTTTTTTAAAAAGCAAATGAAAAGTAAAGAGTAATTTAATGAGTTGCCTTTCTTAATTGAAACCGCTGGAGGTAAGGAACCATTTTCTATAGTCAACAAATTATGCCAGTTATGCCTTTTAAAATGTAGCTTTGCTACACTGTGTTTAGAAGGTAGGTTGCTGATACTCACTGAGCTTCATGACTCACAAGGAATCTGAAACCTGGTCTCCCTGACTGGACATGGCACAATGGGAGAACTTTTCTCAGTAAAACAGCGTAGCAGGGTAAACCTGTGTTTCAGACTGTGTAATTATAGTAGAACAGAAACCAGATGGAAAGCAGGTTCATCCTATTTCCCGGGAAGAGTCAACAAAACAGGAAGGAAAGAGCAACAACACCTACAAAAAGCACCCACAGCTGCTCTGTAAAATCTTAAGATTTCTCTCCTCAGGTGCTTTCCCCTCTTATTATGGTTTAGCAGGGTATACTGGTACTTGGTCACCCATTGTCTAAGTGGTGGTAGTGGGAACTCATCCTGCTTTTGCCTCCCTTCTTTTATTATTATGTTTCTGGCTGCAGAGTCAGAGGTTGGGAGTTCGATTCCCCATTGTGCCTGCCAGGGAGATGAACCAGACTGTGCAAGCTTGGGCAAACTGCACAGGCCCAAAGTGTCCCCCCGAAGAAAGGAACGGTAAACCACTTCTGAGTATTCTGTAACTAGAAAGCCCTCAAAAGGGTTGCCAAAAGTCAAATTTTACTTGACAGGACATAGTTAATTATGAAACGCAAAGGGACAGTGGTTTTGAAGGAGTGGCCAGGCTGGAGAGACATGAGCTGGTGGCTACCTGAGGGAACGATACAACTTTCACCATTTATTGCACAACTATATTATTTCTATGTAAGCTGAACTTTATCCCCAAATCCAGACATTCAGGTTTGTAAATATGCCCAGTCACCTAGGTTAAACATAATTAACAGGTCAAAGGACATGATCAAACACCAACGTCTCTTGCAGGTTCTTTTGAGAGAGATTATTTAACCTCATTGAGAAATCATAGATTGTGAATTAATTTTAAAAAGATATTGAATCCTGATGTAATTTCTGACCCCATCCCTGGTCTTGCCAGCACTTGTGAGATAGGATGATAATAATTATGTGTTATCAACTTGATTCCAGTGTATGGCAAGTGCAACCCTTTCCAGGTTTGTCTTGGTATCAGAGAGAGAGAGAGAGAGAGAGAGAGAGAGAGAGAGTGTTAATGGGCCCAATCTAGTTACAACTTGCCACTCTAGTTCAGTCAATGAATCGGTTGCTGAATCTGTGGACAATTTTGTAAATCCCATTCATTCAACAGGTTCTCCCCAGTAGAACTATCAACTAGATCCATCCCTGCCAGATGCATTTGCTACCATGTTTCTGAAGGGTTTCCTGAATGTAATTAATCAGGAGAGGCTGTGCTCCCATTTCTTGAATCTTCGTTTAGCAAAGCAGCGGCAATAACAGCCTAGCTAGACAATGCCTCTTTTGTACATTTCGGGACCAGCTCTAGACAGCAACAAGAGCGATGCTGCTTCCTATGGGCGAGGGGAGGAGGGGATCTGAAACCCTGTACAGTACAGATGATCCCAGCGTTTGGCTGCTTGCCTCCTACCTGAAAGATGTGGCCATACAGCCAGTGAGCCGGGGGCCCCGGGAAGCTGCTCAGCGTTTTCAGGAGCTCCTGCCTCCGGCGACGCAGCTGGATGGCTTTGATCAGAAGGCAGGTCAGACAGAAGACGCCAGCCAGGTGCCAAAGGCGGGACAGATCCATGGTGGGCACGGCAAGGAGGAGCAAGGAAAGGGGTTCCGAGGAGGAGGAGGAGGCGGCGGCGGCAGGCGGCGGCTGCCTTCCCGGCGACCGGCAGGGTTCTCCCGCGGAAAGGAAGCGCCGGGGCTCAGTCTATACAGCAGGCAGCTCCCTCGGGGGGCGGAGGAAGGCTTGCAGAAAAGGCCCTCGGCCAACGCCGGGGAAAGCCCCCGATGGCTGTCTTTCCAAAAGGAAAGGAAGAGCACGGGAGGCAGCGGGACCGGGGAGGCACCCACGACTAACGGAGGGAGGGAGGGAGATGCTTTTCAGCAGGGAACGGGTTAAATAAATAAATAAACAAACAAACCCCAAAGTCTTCAGCTGCCCCACCTTGCGCGGAGAGATCGGTCTCCCCGCGCCTGACGTGGAGAGGCAAGAAAGAAAACGGTCCGATTGCATCGCGTGGATTTCAGTCCTCCCCGGCTCAGAAGGAAACCATCCAGAACCTCGCTGGCCTTGGCTTGTGCCCGATTTCTCAGACCAAAGGACGGCCGAATCCTGCATCTTGTTTTCCGTTACAGAGGAAAGGCAGAGGGGAGGGCTCAGGGCCGGGGTCCTCTTGCTTTCACCCGCTGGAACCAGCCCTCGCCCTTGGCTCAGTCATAACGAGGCATCTCCCACCACAGTCAGTTGCACCACCGGGCCTACCGACAAGACCTGGTGCTGTATCTTGACGGGTATCAAGATGCATCAGGCCTTTGGAATTGGAGGTTCCATAGAACCACCACCCGTCAGCAGTCATGGATGGGCCCCGCTCTCTCTCCTGAATGTGGCTAAGCATCCTTTAAAGGAGGGGTGGCTAATGGTCCAGAGGTATAAGGCCCACCCTTGTATCTTGGAGGTCCACACCTGCTGTTGCGGCTTCCAACGTTTGGACCCATTTGAAACAATGCCCATCCTATGACAGCACATTCCATAAATTAATTACGCACTGAAGTGAGAAATACTGGCCCCACAAACAAATTTTCTGGATTATACCAAAAAATTATAGGGTTATTGGCAGGGAGGATGTTATTCATTTTCTTCAAGCCATCCATAATTTTAAAAACAAGTTTTCTGAAAATTATTCTCACAGAGAAAGTAGGGCAGCCTTCATTTCATCATTTTTGCTCTCATTTCAGTCTTGAAATTTCATCTAAGATCCACTTGTTCATTTTTCTGGTGGTGTTTTTCTGCAAAACTCTTTTCCAGCACCACATTTCAAACAATATTTTTCTTGTGAGCTTTCTTCATTGTCCCACTTTCACACCCATACATAGTGATCAGAAGTATCAGAGTGTGGATAATCTTAGTTTTTGTCTCTAGTGACACATTCTTACACTTTATTTATTTATCATATTTAATTTAAAATATTTTTATAATTTCATTAAGCTAGTTCAATGACAGGCATGCTGAGACATCTAATAGAGCAGATTAGTGTCTTTTTCTTCTTTTAAAAAACATTTCAGCCCTTGCACTCCATTTCACTCTTGACACTTTTTCCTGCTTCTACTGGGATGCTTGACATTGCTGGGTAATGTGAGAACACTCCTCAGGCTGAGAAGTAGCTTGTTTCACCTATGCTCCATCTTGGGAGAAGTCTTTTATCTACTGAGCCTGACTCAGGTCTATTTAAGCTCCTAAAGCAACAGGTAAAGAAGCAGAACCTGCAGAACAGGTGTTATGATAGTCGCAGTGCCCATATTCAGCACTAACCCTCCAGGTAGACCAGGCAGGTCTCCGAACATCCCTCATGGGCTTTTCATCCTCTTTTTGTTTTACACTCTCTCCTCCTTTTCCTTCTTTAGGCAAGGGGTGGGGGGCAGAAATAACGTTTTGTAGGTGCAAGTGCTCAACAAACCAATCAGGAACAACATATTTAATAAAACAAGAAGAACATGATAAGTAAAATGGAAATTATCAACAAGAAACAAGATTGCCAAACCATCAATGCTAGTCTTCCTAAGCTAAATTTGTCAGGGTCCTCTCGCAGGAGTTCTGATTGATGTCAACATGAGTGGAGAGGTTGACATCAAAGAGGACATTTTGCCAAGTTCAAAGAAGCTTATGATTAAGAATGGATGTAACTGAGGCATAAAATAAGTAAAGAAAATAAATTTCAAATTTAAAAATAATTTTAAAATGTACGAATACAAGAAAGAACTGGGCATGTTCAGCCTTGAGAAAAGAAACCTGAGGGGAGTAAAAATAGCACTTTTCAAGTGCATGAAAGATAAATCATACAATGGAGAGGCAGGATCTGTTCTTGATCATCCCAGACTGCAGGACACATAATAATGGGCTCAAGTTACAGAAAGACAGATTTCAGTTGAAGATGAGAGAAAACTTTCTAACTGTTAAAGCAGTATGGCAATGAATCCTTAAATGCCTGAGGCATTCAAGAGAAAATTGGGCAACCATCATCAGAGCTGCTTTGATTTGGATTCCTGCATTGAGCCAGGGATTCCACTTGATGGCCTTATAGGCACCTGTCAACTCAGTTATTCTATAACTGCATGGAAAGACTGCATCCATACAATTTAAATCGTCTTCTGGAGCAAAAAAGGAGGGAGGGAGGGAGGGAGGGAGGGAGAGAGCCATCACAAAGCCTGGCAATCCAAACGTAGGTAAATTACAATTTAAATCGTCTTCTGGAGCAAAAAAAAGGAGGGAGGGAGGGAGGGAGCCATCACAAAGCGCTGGCAATCCAAATGTAGGTTAATTCCTCAGTGCAGTGGTCCCCATCCTTGGGCCTCCAGATGTTCTTGGACTTCAACTCCCAGAAATCCTGGCCAGCAGAGGTGGTGCTGAAAGCTTCTGGGAGTTGTAGTGCAAGAACATCTGGAGGCCAAGGTTGGGGAACACTGCCTCAGTGGGACTAAACTTCACTTTGCTCTGTGGATCAGCACCGTTTGCAGGGCATCTTGAAATACCAGAGTATTTCTTGCTTGGCTTAAAGCAATGGTCCCCAACCTTGGGCCTCCAGATGTTCTTGGACTTCAACTCCCAGAAATCCTGGCCAGCAGAGGCGGTCGCGAAGGCTTCTGGGAGTTGTAGTCGAAGAAGGAAGGCGGCACATCTGTGGCAGAGTAGTTTGGATGGCTGAATAAACTTAGAAATGCAGAGCCAGAAGGGACCCTATGGGTGATCGGGTCCAGTCCCTGTCCAGGAGGCACAGCAATGCCGGTCCAGTCCCTGTCCAGGAGGCACAGCAGTGCCCCCCCCTCCTCCTCCTCCTTCTTGGCAGCTGCAGCTCCCGCGGTGCCAAAATGAGGACCCTAAAGGGGAAATCTCTCCGGGTTCTTCTTTCCTGAGCTGCCTCCGCTCTGGAAAGAAACCTCTGCCCCTCGGAATCGCCAACCTCGCCAGACTGCAGGAGGATCGTTGAGGCAGTTGACGGAGAAACTGCCGAGCGGCTTAAAGCTGCCTTAAAAGCCGGTGTCACCTCCCAAGATTGCTATCTTTCCTCAACGGTGTCTTCCTGTTCTCACAATAATCCCCGGGTCTTATCCTACCCAAATGGGATTGACTTCCCATTCCAAACTGCCATGCAAAGAATATTTAATTAAAGACGGTTTAGCCGCAGCAGGCACATCAGCAACGAGTCCCATCCGGGCAGCTCGTTTCTATAGTCGGCTTCCCTGGAAGTTTGTTTGTTTATTTGATGTGATTTGTATCCCGCCCATCTGGTCTATGCGACCACTCTGTTAAGACCCCGTGCTCTCCATCAGACAGGAGGGCTTGCCGTGCGCTGGTCCATGGGGGTCACGAAGAGTCGGACACGACTGAACGACAAAACGACAACACTCTCCATCATGGCCTAGGAAGGCACCCTGGCCCTTTAATGTTTTTTCCGCGACCGGGCTACGCGCCGGAACAGAAAGATCCACCAACACACGAGCCGGCAGCCAATTGAAAATAAAGTGTCGGTGTCTTTAAGGGAGAAGGTGGGGGGATGCGGGGGGTGAGAGTAGTGCTTTTTTTATCCAATAGCAGTGGTCGATACTCGTAGGCCACAGCCAACCGTGTAAGGGCAAAAAAAGCCGTCTAGCCGGTTTCCTCTATGTCGCCAGCCAATGACAGCGGCCTACGTTGGTCGGAGGGCGCTGAGGGCAAGAGGAAGCGATGTTCCCATAGCTGTCATGGCTCGGGCAGCTGTGGCAAGTGTCTCGGCCGGTAGGAAGCTGCAACGACGGCCCCACCGGCGCCTGAGAGTGTCTGGCCGGCCGAGTTGAGACTCCAGGGCTGACGGTGAAGCCCCGAAACGCCGAAGCTGGCGAGCCGGGGCCCGGAGTTAGGAGCCCCTCCCGCGTCGCGGGGCTCGGCCGCCCCGAATCCTGCCCGGACCCAGCAACAGAAGAGGATGAAGAAGCGAAAGGAGCTCAACGCCCTCATTGGCCTGGGCGGCGGGAGCGGCGACCGGGGGAGCGGCGGCGGCGGCGGCGGCGGCGGTGT